AAGATTTCTTTTACAATTTTATTCTTGATAGCACATTCACACAGAGAAAGAGAAGCACCTTTGACAGGATCTCATTATACCATGATCCTCTTTCCCCAGCCCTCAGGAACCCTCGCACATGCTAACATGCCCAGCATGTTTTTAGGCTAATCTGGGGATCTAAACCTGCTAGTGGCCTTGTAGTTTCCAGCTCTGCAATTTAGTACTCTACCAACTGAACCCTCAGGGTGAGCCCACAGTCTGTTCTGCCATATTTGTTTGATAGATAGTCTTGGGTTTGCAAGAGGAATAATTATACTTTATTGTATAATGAGACACTAACTAGCATGCTCTTACTTGCTAGTACAAACAGCAATTATGCTTCCTCAAGCTGTGGTTACGGTTGTAGCTGTAGTTGTAGGGAAGGAGCGCTGGCTTCCACCTGCCTAATTGCGCTCGGTTATTATATCGCAGGTGCTAATGTGCTGATTCAATTCCTAGTAGCACCGTGTAGTGGGTTGACTTCATTGAGTCAAGTGTTACTGGGCCTGACTTTTGTCCAATAATTAAATTTAAGCTCAAGACAATATTGTAACAAAATAATTACCTGATTTTATTTTATTTTCAGAAGTCATAGAATTCCAAAGCTGGAAGTAATTTTTGAACTTCTCAATAAGCCTTAATTAGCAAATTAAGAGAGTACTGAAAAGCTGAGTGTTTGGATCCTAACTAGTTTGGTTCAGTCTGGATGAACACGGTGTACATAAAGCATGGTACAGAATGAGGCTTCAGAGGATACATTTTCCTCCACCTATAGCTTCTGTGCATGCCCTGGGTGTGCAGGCTCCGAGGTATAAACTTGGGAGAGAAACATCTGGTAGGTGCCACGCACAGTATTCTGAGTGCTGGTATATTGCAGGAAACAAAGTTAGCAGGGCCTCAGCTCTTCGGGGCATGGGAGAGATGATAGTCCAAAAGTAAACTGTTAAGAGATCTCTTTGCTGCTCTTCTACAAGTCTAAAATTATTTCAGAATAAAAAGACAGAGGGGATCAAGGGGAAAAAAAAGAAGGAGAGCATTTACTCGATACAAAAATGGAAAATTATCTGCTGATTATATTGTGTATGATATCTTTGATTGGACTAATATATACTATATTCAAGTTGAGAAGGTTCGTTTTGTATGCGGTAAAGATGTAGTGATTGGAGTAAAAAAAAACTGCAAGAAGAAAAAAGTTATTTCTATTGACAAAAGTACATTACTAAGAGAATTTCAGGTAGTATTAAGTACTGTGTTGAAAATGAGAGAAATTGATAAGGGGTGACAAGGAGTGGGGAGAGTCACATAGATGTTACAGAACATATGTCCAAGGACAGGGTCGTTGTGCTAAGAAATTATGGAAAGGGAAAGCCAGGTAAAGGTCTGGAAGGCACTGTCCAGATGTGATGGCAAGTCCTGGAGGTCAAGTGGCCCGAGGCAGAGAACCTGAAGATCCATGTGGTTTCAGAGACAGGATGGGACTGAAGATTGGAGAGCTTGACAGAGGGTATGACAAGGAGCCTGAATCTCATTCTGCTTGTTGTGGGAAGCTATTGAAGAAATTAGAGCAGCAATGTGATTTTATTAGATCTTTTTTTTTTGAGAGGTTTTTGGTATAGGGTGCATGCGCTCGCCAGAAAGACAGAGGAGAAGGGATTGCGGTGTGGCCATCCCCCCTGGAGGGTGATTTCTCGCTTTCTGTCTCTCTGTCTCTCTCTGTCTACCTGGCAGTTGCACGCACCCTAAAGCAAAAAAAAAAAAAAAAACTCTCCAAAAAGACAGAGAGAGAGAGACAGAAAGCGAGAAATCATCCCCTAGGGGAGATAACCATGCCGCAATCCCCTCCATTCTCCTTTCAGGACCTTGGGCACGCACACATACGTGCCCAGTGTGAGTCTAAACCACTGGATTCGGGACTTGAACCTTGGTGGACTACATGAGAGTCCAGCAACGTAGCCATTATGCTAACTGTTGGTCCTAGATTTTATTAGATCTTTAAACAAAACCTTTACTTTGTCTGCTGTGAGCAGTACAGATTCTATTATATTAGAGCAGAAAGTAGAAGTCCAGTTAAAAGGATTACACAGTGTGGCCAGCAGATAACATGGATGTGGACTCCCATATAGTTGACTGTGGTTTGAGTACCAGACCTGGCAGCTTGAAAATCACACCAGGCACATGTGTGTGCATGCCCAAAATCCCAAGAGGAGAATGGAGGAGAAGGGATTGTGGCATGACCAGCTCCTCTAGGGGAGTGATTTCTCACTTTCTGTCTCTGTCTCTCTGGCCAGTTAATGCACCCTATCGTAAAACCTTTAAAATTAAACCTCAAATAAATAAATAAATAAATAAATAAGGATTCCATTGTGGTTTGAGCAAGCAATGGTAATGGCTTAGAGGCAAGACCAGTAGAGAGAGGAGGGCTGATACAGGACTTGCTGATAAATTGGATGTGGTGATATTTTTTTTAAAAAAATGCACTCAAGGATGACTTAGATTTTTTTACCTAAACGATTGAGATTAAGAAGACTGTTGGAAAACATTTTGAAAGGGAAATTGATCTTGATTTTTGTACATAAAATCTGAGATGCCTCGAAAAGAGAAGGAGCGAGCAAAGATGAGTAGGCAGTTACTGGGCTAAGAGGGAAAATCAAGAGAGCATAGCATTAGGGAAACCATGAGAAAAGCCTGTTCTAGGGCCAGCAATTAGCGTAATGGCTATGTTGCTGAACTCCCATGTAGTCGACTGGGGTTGAGTCCCGGACCCCGGTGGCTTAAACTCATGCCAGGCGCATGTGTGTGTCTGCCCAAGAATCCTAGAGGAGAGTGGAGAGAAGGGATTGTGGCATGACCACCCTCCTGGGGTGTGATTTCTCACTCTCTGTCTCTCTACCTCTCTCTGTCTTTCTGGCAAGCATACACACCCTATAGAAAAAATCTCTTTAAAAAAAAGTAAAAAAAAAAAAAGAAAGGAAAAAGATTATTTCCAAGGAAAAAGGAGTGTGGCCTTATGGTAGGACAGCTGGATCCACACAGGCAGGGTCCTGAGTTGATGTCCCTGAGTACACGCTGAGACTATGGATTGCAGTGTGGGGCCCTGTCAGGGTTGCTTTCTTTCTCCCCACCACTCCTCTCTCTGTAGCTTCCATTAAGTAATCACTTATTTTTTAAACTTGAACAGAAAAGAAGAGAGTAGTAACACAGTTGATGCTGCTGAGAACTAGAGTGAGACAGAATAGGGACCCTCTGGATTTGACAGTGTGGAAGTCATGAGGGAAGGCAGTTAGGATGACGGAGAGGATACTGGAGTAGGTGGGATGAGGAAATGGAGATGGTGAGTAGATAACTGAAGCCTAGTTGCCAATAGCGCAGGAACCGTGTGCGGGACTAAGGATCGAAGCATGTTTGTTGGTTTGATTTGTTTTTAAATGGGAATCTACACGGTCATGAAGCAAAAAAGGGAAACTAGTAGGGAGGAAGAAATTAATATAAGAAAGAGAGGATAACTTGCAAATGAAGTCCTCAGTGGCCATAGGGCCAGGATTGATACCACAAATGGGATTATTGTTGTTTGATGTGATCTGGGGTCATGTCTATTGAGGTAGGAGATAAGACAACCTAGATTTAAATTCTCTGGGTTAATACTCATAGTGACCAAGTGGAAGTGGGGAGGGTTCCAGCTAGAATTAATTTTCTCAATGAAATATGAAGTTATTAGCTGAGTAGGGGAAGATGGTAATAGGTATCAAGGGAGGACCTAAAAGAATCACGCTGGAGAGTGGAAACTCCAGCATACGACTCAGGCGCAAGTATAGGGTTGCCGGTAGCATCGAGTTTTTCTGAGAGCTGCGGTCATGAAATAAAGCACTGTGGCATGGTTTTCTCCAGAACACATACCTACACGGAAGACGTAGGTCGTTGAGGTTAGCCAGCATTGTGCTTTCCTAGGTGAGTCCTTCAGAGAGACAGAAGAGATAAGGCTGTTTGTTGGGGAGATGATGGGCCACAGGCATAGGTGGGGAGGCAGCGGTGAGTGAAGAGCTATAGGAGCTGCTGGGTGGTCTGGGAATTGGAGGCCAATGCCAGGATTTAGGAAACTGCCCAGGTGGTAGTTGGAGTGGGTTACTGGAAATAGAGATTTGGGATGTAGGGTGTGGTGGTTCTGGCAATGGGTGAGGTCTGGGGTGTGATGGTGAGTGTGTGGCTGAGCTGGGGCATGTGAAAGATTATCCAAAGAGAAGAGGACAGAGGCTTGGAGGCCATAATGTTAGATGGGTCACCCAAGGGGATATCAAAAGTTCCAAAAATGATGGTAAGCATAGAAATGGGGAAAGGGCCATCCCCATTGCCTAGTAGTTAAGGGATCTGGATACTACATGGCCAACCACAGTTCAAGTCCAGCCCTGGTGACTTGAAAAACATATCAGGCTTGTGTGTGCATGTCCAAAATCCCAACAGAATGGAGAAATGGAAGGGAAGGGATTGTGGCTTGACCATGCACTACTAGGGAGTGATCTTTCCCTCTTTCTCTCTGTCTTTCTCTGGTGAGCACACATGCCCTCTGGCAATTAAAAGAAAAAGAACAGAACCTGGAGAAAGATAGTGAGTCAGCGCTAATTTATGAGATCAAAACATCCAGGTTTGGGGCCTGCAGGTGGTATGATGGTTGAGCTACTGGACTTCCCACAAGACCGACCGTGGTTCAAGTCCCAGACCTGGTGGCTTCTCTTTCTCATTTTCCCTCTCTCTCTGTCTATCTCTGATAAGCTCATGTAACTAAAAAAAAAAAGAGAAAGAAAGAAAAAGAAATCCAAGTTCTTAGTTGCAGAAGTTGAACATTAACAAAAATATCTGAGTTACATAGTCGGAGTCAGTGTGAAAGGCAGGAGCCCGTGACTTAGCTTCATGTGCTGCTTCGGGGGCAAGGGCAGTAATGGTGACCACTCATCACAGTTAAACATGATCACCTCCTTCTAAATCAGATGCTGCTGCAGCGGCTTCAGCAATGGTGTCTGCATCTGCCCCTTCGGTGTACAGCGTGCAAGCCCTCTCTCTCCTGGCAGAGGTAACTACCCCCCAACTTGACACCCCGTGTGGATGTGCATGCTCTCATCAGGCCTTCATTCATTCTCAGGTGCCAGTGAGTGTGGCCTGTGCCCCCCAGGTGAGCCTGGGAGTCCAGATGGGCCTCCAGCTGCACCATGTGGTCTTCTTGTTAGGTCCTGCTTTGAGGACCAAGTGTCATTGTCACTTGCTTCAAGAGGCTTCTGTGTCCTTGTGGTCTTATATTTTCAGGTTCTGGCTTCTCTTCTGGACATGGTTTATCGCAGTGATGAGAAAGAGAAGGCAGTGCCGTTAATCTCCCGTCTGCTTTATTATGTTTTTCCATACTTACGCAATCACAGGTAACACCCTCCTCTCCATCCCCACTCATATGTTGAACAGTGTGTTGAGAAATGAATCAGCTGATTTTCCATGGTCTTTGGTCGTGACCCTTTGCTCTTCCCACCCCCATGCAGTGCCTACAATGCACCCAGCTTCCGGGCTGGAGCTCAGCTGCTGAGCTCCCTGAGTGGCTATGCCTATACCAAACGAGCCTGGAAGAAAGACGTCCTCGACCTGTTTTTGGACCCTGCCTTTTTTCAGATGGATACTTCTTGTGTTCAGTAAGAATTGCTGACCTGGTAAAAAGTGCTCTAAATCTTCACATGGGAATGGTTTTTTGGTTACATAACTAATTCTTCCTGAAATGAAAGGAGACCCATAGGTAGCATCAACCCGGGATAATAGGACACAGCTCTCCTAGGTTTACATGTGAACCACGCGTTCTCTGCAAAAGATGAACTCTTAAAATACACAGGTACCCTATTTATCAAAGGAAGGATTTCACTTAATTCAGAGACTATTCTTGTTTTGTTTTGTTTTGTTTTTAAGAATTATTTTATTTAACTTTATTTATTTTAATTTGACCAAGGAGGAACAGAGTGAGAGAGAGAGAAATGTGAGAAAGAAAGCAACTAGGTCTGGGACTCAAACAGTGGTTAGTCATGTGGGAGTGTCCAGAGACTTAACCACCATGCCAACTGGTGGCCCCTCTACAACATTGATTTTTACAGGTCTTAATTGGTCCTATGTATATTTACATATACAGAAATATTGCATCCTATGCAAAGAAGATGTAAACCTAAGTAAATCAAGGATATGTAAGCTTAATCAATTGTTTCCATAACAGTGTATATCATAAGATTTTACCATGTAAATAATTGCTAAATAAATGTTGACTTTTATTTGATCTACCATAAAATACCTTTGATAACCTACATATTTCTTTTTTTAAAGAATTATTTATTTAATTTTATTTATTCATTCATTTTATTTATTTATTTATTTTAATTTGATCAGAAAGACACAGAGAGAGAGAGTGAAAGAGGGAAAATGAGAAAGCAAGCCACCACGTCTGAGACTCGAACCGTTGTTGGCCATGTGGGAATCCAGTGCCCTTATCCACCAAAAAAAAAGAGAGAGAGAGAGAGAGAGAGAGAAAGCAAGCCTCCAGGCCCAGTACTCGAACCGTGATTGGCCATGTGGGAGTCCAGCGCCCTCAACCACCACGCCACCTGCTGGCCCCTCAGAGACTTTATTCTAAAGAGTGTGTGGACTCCAGTGATACCTGGTCTAGTGCTCTCTTATCTTGTAATCACATGATATTGGACTGACATTAAGATGACAAAGCCGTGGGTGACCCTGGTGGCATCACGAGCCTGCAGCAGAGATCTACTGAGACAGAGGAGAGGTGTATGCTGTGCTTTTTCTCCAGAGATAAACAGAACCACTCAGTACCCTCCATTGGCTGGGCTGAATAGTCTTTATGAAGCAGGGGTGGAGGGTGGAGATGAGGGGAACCTCTTTGCATGGCCTGAAAGTCACCCTGCCACTACCAGCCAACTACTGGCACCTTGTGGTTTCCATCAGTGTGATCTGCTGTCTGCTGGGCAAGACTAAGCTAGCTCAGGAGAGTAAGAGCTAAGAATAGCTGGACCAGCAGATGGTGTAGCGGTTACATTGCTGGACTCCCACATGGCTGACCGCAGTTCAAATCCCAGACCCAGTGACTTGAAACTCAGGCCAGGTGTGTGTGTGTATGTGCCTAAAATCCTGAAAGGAAACTGGAGAAGAGATTGCAGTGTGGCCATGTGCCCTGAGGGGCAATTTCTTGCTTTCTGTCTCTCTCTCTCTCTCTCTGTCACTCTCTCTCTGTCTGTCTCTCTCTCTGCCACTCTCTCTTTCTCTGTGTGTGTGTCTCTCTCTCTGTCTCCCTGGCAAGTGCACATGTGCTATAGCAAAAATCTGTATTTTTTTAGACTCCCACATGGGAGTCCAGTGATGTAACCACTATGCCATCTTTTGGTCCTGCAAAAAGCTCTCTCAAAAAAAAAAGTTAAGGATAGTTTTTGTTTTCATACCCTATTTTTAAATGAAATTCTTTGAGTTTCCTTATTAACCTAATTGGCGCCTTCTATCCCCACTAGCCAGCAGAGGCCAGGACAGAGAGCACAGTGGGCGATCCGCTTACATGCATCCGTACAGCTGGCCATCACCCGCAGGGGTCTGATTGCAGGCACCACTTCAGTGACACAACCATAGTGTGAAAGTTTAGAGTTTTTATTTGTTTGGTTTGTATGTGTGTGTGTGTGTGTGTGTGTGTGTGTGTTTTGGAGAGGTTTTTGCTATAGAGTGTGTATGCTCACCAGAAAGACAGAGACAGACAGAGAGGTAGAAAGCAAGAAATCACCCCCCAGGGAGGATGGCCACGCTGCAATCACTTCTCCTCCATTCTCCTCTCAGAATCTTGGGCACGTACGCAAATGTGGCATGAGTTTAAGCCACTGGGTCCAGGACTCTAACCACGGTCAACTACATGGGAGTCCAGTGACGTAGCTATTACACCAACTGCTGGTCCTTATTTGTTTTTATGAGAGAAATTTTTACTATAGGGTAGTGTGAGCTCGCCAGAGACAGAGAAGACAGAGACAGAAAAGAAATCATCCCCAGGATCAGCAGTTAGCGTAATGGCTATGTCGCTGGACTCCCACATAGTTGACTGTGGTTCAAGTCCCGGACCCGGTGGCTTAAAACTCATGCCGGGTGTGTGTGCGTGAGTGCCCAAGATCTCGAGAGGAAAATGGAGGAGAAGGGATTGTGGCATGGCCATCCCCCCTGGGGGGTGATTTCTCGCTTTCAGTCTCTATGTCTCTCTCTGTCTGTTTGGTGAGCGCACACACCCTATAGCAAAAAACCTCTCCAAAAAGAAAAAAAAGAAAAGGAAAAGAGAAATCATCCCCTGGGGGAATGACCACACTGCAGTCCCTTCTCCTCTATTCTTCTCTTGGGATTTTGGGCACGCACATGTAGCTGGTCCTGGTGTGTTTTTTAAACTGCAGGGTCCAAGACTTGAACCACAGTCGACTGTGGGAATCCAACGAGGTAAACATTACGCCATCTGCTGGTCCCAGAGTTCAGGATTTTTTATTCCTTACAGATCCCTACACTGGGCAGGGCAACCAGAGAGAGGCAGTTAGCAGTCCTCCATGCCAGGTGTCACGTAGCAACAGCAACAGGCTCAAAGGAAAGGACTTCACCTACCTAAGGTCGTCTGGGGTGAGGTGTCTGCACTCATGTGGTTAATCTCTATACGGTATTTGAAACAATCTGGTGGTAAGGGCAGTTGAGCAGTTTGGCAGGAAGCAGGGGTCACAACAGGGCTCCACAAAGGGCTTTCTCTGACTGGTCAGCCTTGCCAGGCCTAGGCAGCGGTCAGATGTGGCTTCTCCATTACCCCAAAGGCAGCCCCCATGCCTTTTGATCAACACAGCTACATGAATATCCTCCTTTGTGAGCATGTTCAAGGGCAACCCTTGAAAAAACCAGAGTATGTTGTTAACTTTGTTAGCTAAGAAACCTCATTATTCATTCTGTATGTTAAGTATACAAAGAGAAGCATTTTCTTTGCGTGTCCTTATTTAAAAAAAAACAAAAAAGAAAAAAAAAAAGAAAACCTCTTTATTTGTGTCACTAACTTCTTTTCAGAAATCAACTATTGGGACCAGCAGTTAGCGTAATGGCTATGTCGCTAAACTCCCGTGTAGCCGACCGCAGTTTGAGTCCCGGACTCAGTGGCTTCAATTCAAACCGGGCGCTTGTGCGTGCATGCCCATGATCCCGAGAGGAGAATGGAGGAAAAGGGATTGCAGCGTGGCCACGCCCCTGGGGGGGTGATTTCTCGCTTTCTGTCTCTGTCTCTCTCTTTCTGGCGAGTGCACATGCCCTATAGCAAAAACCTCTCAAAAAAAATCAGTTATTAATAGATCTTAAGGGAGCATTTTTTGATGCTTTTAATCAAATTATACATAACATATTTAATTTTTAAATTTTTGTCTTTTTTTATATCCAGTTGGAAGTCCATTATTGACCATCTCCTGACTCATGAGAAAACAATGTTTAAGGACTTAATGAGTAAGTTCTATGTCGTTTGCATATAACACTCTTATAGGGCCAGAGCTTCATAATGAACTTTTACCATGGATTTCAGATCCTACTCAAACCTTCTGTGGTACTAAGATACAGACTGTCATGGAGTTTGCTAATATGTCAGAACTAAGTGAATGAGTCTTGCCAGTTATCGTCTGTTGGCAATAATACCTTGACAACCTTTCTTACAGCTTTATAGCTGCAAAATAAATACTGCTGAAAGTAGTCAGGCTTATATCTTGACATTTGTATTGAAAATAATATGTTCCTTAATTCATTTTAACTTATTAGGATGATATCCTTTCACCTCAGATCCTCTTCTAATGCTCTGTCATTAAGTGTCATTGAAGAAATAAGTATTTTGGGGACCAGCAGTTAGCGTAATGGCTATGTCACTGAACTCCTACGTAGTCGACCGCGGTTCGCATCCCGGACCCAGTGGCTGAAAGCTCACACTGGGCGCGTGTGCGTGCGTGCCCAAGATCCCAAGAGGAGAATGGAGGAGAAGGGATTGTGGTGTGGCCATCCCCCCTGGGGGGTGATTTCTCACTTTCTGTCTCTATGTCTCTCTCTGTCTGGTGAGCACACGCGCCCTATAGCGAAAATCTCTCAAGAAAAAAAAAAAGAAAGAAGTATTTTTAAAAATACACATGGGTGTAATAGTCACATGCCCTCACATAGTCAAGGATGTGACTTTCACCAGGGAAGATAGGAATTACACTAGTATGAATTTCCTGTCACCTACCTCTAACTGTGGTTTTTCTAAGTGTAACTTATTTCCTGCATTTATCCTAGACATGCAGAGCAGTTCTTTAAAACTCTTCTCCAGTTTTGAGCAGAAAGCCATGCTGTTAAAGCGCCAGGCTTTTGCTGTCTTCAGTGGAGAACTTGATCAATACCACCTTTACCTACCGCTGATACAAGGTAAGACAGCCGTCTCAGTCTGTTTTGTGCTGCTATCACAGAACACCTACAACTGGGCGATTTATAATGCACGGAGGTTTTTAGCTCATAGTTCTGGGACTGGGAAGTTCAATATCTAAGGGCTGGTGTTTAGCAAAGGTGTTCTTGCTGCATCATCCCACGGCGGAAGGCAAAAGGGTGATGAACTCAACCCTTTGATATGGGCACCCATCCTACCAGTGACAGTGGGGCCATTATGACCTAATCACTGTGCAAAGCCTCTACCTCCCAAAACCATTGCTTGCAATTAAATTTCAACAGGAGGTGCCAGCCTGTAGCTAGGTGGTTAAGTGAGCCAGATCCCACTTAGCTGACCATGCTTCAGTCCTGGTCCTGGTGACTTAAAAAACATGTCAGCAGTATATGTGCATGCCCAAAACCCAGTCAGGGTAAAGAGAGTTGGAGGAGAAGGAATAGAATCGAGGTGACCATTCCTCATGATGGGTGCTTTCTCCCTCTCCCTCTCTGTTTCTCTGGTGAACACACACACCCTCTGTCAATTGAAATCATTGTTCAGTATGAGTTTGGCGGAGACAAACATTCAGGCCACAGCAGTGACCAGCCTTCACCACCAGCCCACCCACCCCTTCTCCCAAAGGCATAGATGGACCCAAGAATGGCATGTCTGGCACAATGATCAGATGTGCTCTGCAGGGGTTATCCAAGAAAATCTTCAGAAATAGGTTAATAAATCTGAAACTCTATTTTAAAAGTAAATTATTATACTTGTATTAATTTTGTTAGGAAGTTTTTACTAGTCTGACTGTTCAGCATAGGAATATTTTGTCAGCACTGTCTCCTAGAGCCAGGTTATTCTGTGTTTATAATCGTCCCTCTAATAGCTTCAGTTGAGACTAGGAGTGGGTTTTTTTTAAAGAGAGTTTTTTGTTTTTAAGAGGTTTTTGCCTTAGGGTGTGTGCACTCACTAGAGAGAGAAACAGAGACAGTGACAGGAAAAGTGAGAAATCACCCTCCGGGGGGATGGCCACGCCACAGTCCCTTCTGCTCCACTCCTCCCAGGGTCTTGGGCACACGCACACACACACACAAGTCCAGCTTGAGTTTCAACCCATCGGTTCTGGAACTTGAACTGCAGTCAGCCATGTGGGATTCCAGTGCCTTAATCACTACGCTACCTACTGGCCCCAAAGGAACAAGATTTTGGAGAAGAGTCCCATATTTCTTCAACAGTTTATTTCTTTCCTTTATGCTTAACTATATTCTTTGCATCATAAATTTTCAAAAATATCATGGGGGAACTTCATAAAGTTAATGGAAAATTAAAGTATGAATTTAATTCATAATGGCCTAATGGATAAGAGAGCTAGATCTTACATGGAAGTTCGAATTCTGGTGTTGGCGGCTTGAAAAACACACCAGCAGTGTGCACGTGTGTATGTGTATGTGTGCACGCACACACCTAAAACCCTGGCAGGATGGAAAAATGGAGGAGAAGGTATTGCAGCATGACTACATCCCACTGGGAGTGCTTTCTTTCTCTTTCTGGGAGCACACACACCCTCTGACAATTAAAAAGAGAAAAGTATGAATTTATTTTGCTCTAAAAATTTTTTTGAAATTTGTCAGAGAAGGACTCTGTCCATGACATTAGGAGGGGGAGGGACAGCTAGGGCTCCTGCCCATTCCCTTCCCTCCAGTCCTTTACCTCCAGATCAGTGTTTGAGCCTCCTTGTTCCCCCTTTGCACCCCTCAGTGATCTTGATAATGATTTTGGCACCTTCAGGAACAAGTATTAATATTAGTTGTATATTTACTATTATTAAAGTAAGAAATACTAAAGTGGGACCAGTAGATGGCATAATGGTTACCTCACTGGACTCCCTCATAGTCAACCCCGGTTCGAGTCCCATACCCCACAGCTTGAAACTCACACTGGGTGCATGTGCATGCATGCCCAAAATCCTGAGAGGAGAATGGAGGAGAAGGGATTGTGGCATAACCATCCCACCTGTGGGTGATTTCTTGCTTTCTAAAAAAAAAAAAAAAATTTTCTCTTAAAAAAATAATTAAGGGACCAGCAGTTAGCATAATGGCTATGTCACTGGACTCCCATGGAGTTGACCACGGTTCGAGTCTCAGACCTCGTGGCTTAAACTCACACCGGGCACATGTGCATGTGTGCCCAAGATCCCGAGAGGAGAATGGAGGAGAAGGGATTGCGGCGTGGCCACCCGCCTGGGGAGTGATTTCTTGCTTTCTGTCTCTCTGTCTCTCTCTGTCTTTCTGGCGAGCACATGTGCCCTATAGCAAAAACCTCAAAAAAAGAAAGGTAAATATTAAAGTAATATATAATAAATATACTTAGTTCTATATCGTCATATAGTAAATATTCATATAGATAATAAAGTCAGCATAATGCTGACCTAATTAGGAAGTAAGTTTTGAACTCTGAGGCAAAAAAGAAATTCTAAGTGAGTAGTACTCTCCACTTTGGATAACTTGGATGCTTTATTTCTACAAAAAGACTACATGTTTTTAAAATATATACATTTAACCACATTTTCATTTTTGATCAACTAACAATTTACAAAGCATTTCCTGTATGTCGTCATTGTCCCCTGAGAGGCCCTCCGTGAGACCTTGGGGTAAAAGCGTCTTTGACAGCTTTTATAAACTTAACTGGCCTTGAGATGCCCTCTGGGGTAGCGATGTCCATGACTCCCTTAAAGGAGAGATGCACCAGAAGCTTCCAAGTCACATACCATAGTGAATAGTTTTGGCCTAACTGAAAAGGCAGGAATAGAGCTTGTCTACTATTCATCTTCTGGGAGGCCCTCAGGGGTCCTTTGTTCTTATTTATAGCACTAGCTAGCATTGAAAGAGGTCAATGTCCAGCTCCAAAGAGTGACATAAATCTTAGGTTGATGAGGAGGACAGGAAGATATAGGTTAATGGGGACACAGGTACAGTTATATAGGATGAGTAACACTAGAGAGCTGTAACACGAGGACTATAGTTAATATTGTGTAATGGTAATTTGCCAAGAGTAGATTTTAGGTACTCTGAAAAGTAATTACATGATATCATTTGGTTGTTAATTTGTTTGACTGTAGTGATCACTTCACCATGTGCATGTGTACCAAGATGAGTACAGCTAAACATCATGTTATGTATCTTAAATATATACAATATATTTTTTTTTTTGGAGAGGTTTTTGCTATAGGGCATGTGCGCTCACCAGAAATACAGAGAGAGACAGAAAGCGAGAACTCACCCCCTGGGGGAGTGGTCACACCACAATCCCTTCTCTTCCATTCTCCTCTTGTGATCTTGGGTGCGCATGCACACGCGCCTGGCGTGAGCTTAAGCCACTGGGTCCAGGACTCGTACCGCGGTTGACTACATGGGAGTCTAGCAACATAGCCATTACACTAACTGCTGGTCCCAATATATACCATAATTTTTTAAAGAATAATTTTCTTTATTTATTCTTTAGATTTTACCAGCAAATGAGAGAGAGAGAAGGAAAGTGAGAAGGAAAGCTGCCAGATCCAGGTCTCTAACCACAGTTGGCCATGGGGGAGTCCAGCACCCTTAAGCACCACGCCACCTGCCAGCCTATACAATCATTTTTTAAAATTTTACATTGATCAAGAAGAAACATAGGGAGCCAGATGGTGGTGCAGTGGTAAAACGCAGTGCTGTGAGGCAGTCCCATAAAGGAAGTTTCCAGGTTTGTATCAAGACCCTATTGTGGGGACCACCAGATGGTGTAATGGTTATGTCATTGGACTCCCATGTAGTTGACCACGGTTCCATTCCTGGACCTGTTGGCTTAAATCTCATGCTGGGCGCATGTGCATGCATGCCCAAAATCCCAGGAGTCGTACAGAGGAGAAGTGATTGTGGTGTGGCCATCCCCCCTGGGGGGTGATTTCTCACTTTCTACATCTCTGTCTCTCTCTTTCTCTCTGGAGAGCACATGTACCCTATTGCAAAAGTCTCAAAAAAACACAAAAGACTCTATTGTGGGTTCTCTCTTATGCACGAACATGCATGCTTATGGAAGAAATAAGTAAATAGAATTAAAAAAAAAAACTACAATAAACCTAGTGATTTTGGGAACCAGCAGTTAGCGTAATGGCTATGTCGCTGGATTCCCACGTAGTCGACCGCGGTTCGTGTCCTGGACCCGGTGGCTTAAAACTCACGCCGGGCGCGTGTGCGTGCGTGCCCAAGATCCCGAGAGGAGAATGGAGGAGAAGGGATTGCGGCGTGACCATCCCCCCTGGGGGGTGATTTCTCGCTTTCTGTCTCTATGTCTCTCTCTGTCTGTCTGGCGAGCGCACGCGCCCTACAGTGAAAATCTCTCCAAAAAAAAAAAAAAACCTAGTGATTTTTTTTCTACAAAAAGGGCAAAATGCCATTTTTCTAAAATGAGGTGAGGCTAGACTTTGCCCCTCAGAAAGGCTTCTTCCTAGAAGAGCAGAAAGATCTGGAGGAAACACTTCTCTTCTTTAAGCGGAATGAATTCTTTTTGTTGTTGTTGGAGAGGGTTTTTTTGTTTTGTTTTGTTTTGTTTTTTTGCAGTAGGGCGCTTGCACTCTCCAGAAAGACAGAGAAGAAAGTGAGAAATCATCCCCCGGGGGGGATGGCCATGCCACAGTCCCTTCTCCTCTTTTCTCCTCTCAGTATCTTGGGCACGCATGCACACGCGCCCAGCGTGAGTTTAAGCCACCGGGTCCAGGACTCGAACTGTGGTCAACTACATGGGAGTTCAGCAATATAGTCAATATGCTAACTGCTGGTCACTAAGCTGAATGAATTCTCATTAGCAGCTGCTGTCTTTCAAATCTTCCTATTGTCGTGTACATATGTGTCTCTATTTTTACACGGGAAACTGATACTCAGATTAGCACCTGTCTAAAGTTTTGTTGCCACTGACTGGCAAAACTTGGTCTGCAGTCTAAGCGTTGGTCAGTAGCTATGGTCATCAGTAGGATTTGTGCCCTTTGGGGTGAACAGGAGAGGGACATCACTCTACATCTCAGTCCTTTACTGCATTGCTAACAGAAATCCCTGAGCCTGTGTGATTTATAAAGATAGAAATGTATTTACAAACTCATGATTCTAGTGGCTAAAAATTCCAGGGTCCTAGCTGAGGGACGATCCATGACTGACGGAAGCTCAGAGGATGGCAGGCATGTACAGAGAGAGACAGGTCCTGACTGATCTCTCTTTTACAATGCCAGGTTTCACAAGGCCTACCCCTTCTCACAAGCGCTAGAACGCATTGGGTTTCCATGAGTTAATCAATTCATGAGGCCATTGCCTTCATGACACAGTCACAGTAAACCAGTCACCGCCCACGAGGTCTTACCCAGGGGGCACCGTGAGGGAATTCGGTTCTCACTTAATACCTTTACAGTCAAATCCCAACCCATGAATTTCTGGGGAGACACATTCAAATTACAACATTCTAGTTTCACAAAGGAGAAACAAAGACTTTGAGAGATGAAGTGGCCGGCCAGTGTGGGAACCCTTCCCTGTCACAGTAGGACTAGGACTCTGGCTGGATTCTCTCCAGCTCTTTGCTCTCCAGGCATGGTTAAGCATGGAAGGTTCATCACTCAGCTAATAAAGAAATAAGAAAATTCTATTCTAAAATAGTTCATCTTGGCAAAAAAATAATCTTATGGATTTAGCTTCTTTTTTTTTTTTTTTTTTTTTTTTAATTTGCTAGAGGGCACGTGCACTTGCCAGAGAAAGAGCTGGTGTACACAAGAGAGCAGCCCCATGGAGAACAGTCATGCTGCAATCCCTTCTCCTTCCTTTCTCCTCTCTGAATTCCTAGTATGCTTGCATACACGCCTACTGTTTTTCAAGTCTCTAGGTCTGAGACTTGACATGTATAGTTGGCCAAGTGAGATCCAGCCTCCTTAACCACTCCACCATGGACTGGCCCAGATTTAGCTTTAATTTGGAGCATGAGTATGAAATATTCCTATGTATACAAGCCATTTTTTTAAAAATACCTTTTATTTTTATTTTATTTTATTTTTCTTGGAGAGGTTTTTGCTATAGGGTGTGTGCGCCTGCCAGAAAGACAGACAGAGACAGAGCGACAGAAAGCGAGAAATCGCCCCCCCTAGGGAGATGGCCACGCCACAATCCCTGCTCCTCTGTTCTCCTCTTGCGATCTTGGGCATGCATGCACACACGCCTGGTGTGAGTTTAAGACACCAGGTCCAAGACTTGAATCTGCGGTTGACTACATGGGAGTCCAGCCATTATGCCAAATGCTGGTCCCAAAAATGCTTTTTATTTTGAAATAGAAGTTTTTAGATTTTTTTTGGGGGGGGGTTTCTTGTTTGTTTTTAGAGATTTTTGCGATAGGGCACATGCACTTGCCAGAGAGGTAGCGACAAATCACCCTCCCGTCACCAGAGGTCATGGCCACACCACAGTCCTTTCTCCTTCTTTCTTCTTGGGATATTTGGGCACACACACACATGTGCCCGGCATGAGTTTTAAGCCACTTTGTCCAGGATTTGAACAGCAGTCGACTACATGGGAGTCCAGCAATGTAGCCAGTACATCATCTGCTGGTCCCTTAAATAGATTGATATTCACAAGAAGTTAGAAAAACAGGACTAAGAGTTTCTGTGTATCATTTTGTATAGCTTCTACTGTGATAACATATGTCACCTCTCACCTTGTAACCATAATTCATTATCTCAGTCAGGAAATAAACACTAGGACAATGTCATTAACTTGACTGAAGTCTTTTCCAGATTTGAACATGTTTTACACACCCACTTTTTTGTGTTTGCCTATGTGTGTTTAGTTCTATGATGGGTTCACATATACAAGTACTAACATACATGTTCTTTTATTTCTGTGATAATAATTTTTTAGTTCTAAAATTTCTATTTGGCTCCTCTTTGTATATTCTGTTTATTTTCTGAGGCTTTCTAATTTTTTCATTTGTCTATTATTGACTGTTGCATTATTTTCAGATAGCAGCTTTAAAATCCTTATCTAGTGATTCCAGCTTCTGTATCATCTCAGCATTGGTGTCTTATTGCCTTTGCTCAGTCCACCTGATATATATA